CTTTTTTTTTTTTTTTTTTTTTTTAAAGATGGGGTTTCTCCATGATGGCCAGGCTGGTCTTGAACTCCTGACCTCAGGTGATCCACCCACCTCAGCCTCCCAAAGCGCTAGGATTACAGGTGCGAGCCACCACGCCCGGCTTTCTTGTATATTTAGTACAGATGCGGTTTCACTGTGTTGGCCATGCTGGTCTCGAACTCCTGACCTCTGACGATTCACCTGCCTCGGCCTCCCAAAGTGCTGAGATTTCAGGCATGAGCCACTGCACCTGGCCGTTTTTTCCCTTTTTTTTTTTTTTTTAGAGATGAGAGTTCTCTCTGTTGCCCAGGCAGCAGTGCAGCGGTATGATCACAGCTCACTGCAGCCTCAAAGTCCTGGGCTCAAACGATCCTCTCACCTCAGCCTCCTGAGTAGTTGGGGCTGCAGTTGCACAACACCACACCCGACTGATTTTTAAAATTATTTTTTGTAGACATGGAGTCTCACTCTGTCTTCCAGACTGGAGTACAGTGGCGGGATCTCAGCTCACTGCAACCTCCCCTCCTGGGTTCAAGTGATTCTGGTGCCTCAGCCTCCCGAGTAGCTGGGACTACAGGTGCCTGCCACCACGCCCAGCTAATCTTTGCATTTTTAGTAGAGACGGGGTTTCTTCATGTTGGCCAGGCTGGTCTTGAACTCCTGACCTCAGGTGATCTGCCCGCCTCGGCCTCCCAAAGTGCTGGGACTACAGGCGTGAGCCACCGTGCACTGCGCCTGCCAGCTATTGTTTTATTATTATTTTGAAGTACGGAACAAGGACCACGGGAACTGGCACTTTTGGCTTCCCTTCCTTCTGTTGTTTATGTAAATAATAAACTGTTTGAATTGAAAAGTGGCTTCTTGTTTTTTTTTTTTTTTCTGAGACAGAGTCTCACTCTGTCTCCCAGGCTAGAGTGCAGTGGCACGATCTTGGGTCACTGCAACCTCTGCCTCCCGTGTTCAAGCGATTCTCCTGCCTTACCTTCCCGAGTAGTTGAGATTACAGGCACGCGCCACCACACCCAGCTAATTTTTGTATTTTTAGTAGAGACGGGGTTTCACCATGTTGGTCAGGCTGGTCTCGTTCTCTTGACCTTGTGATCTGCCCACCTGGGCCTCCCAAAGTGCTGGGATTACAGGCATAAACCATGGCTCCTGGCCCCTTGGCCCAATCTCTAAATGAGGAAATTGAGGTGCAGAGAGGGTCGGCCACTCACCCAGTGGGAAAAGCTAGAATTCTAACCCAGACCATTTGCCTTCACAACCTCCGCTGACCGCCACAGCAACCTGCCATAAGGTGCAACTCAGAGGAAAGAAACTTCTCTCTGTGCCCTGATGTCTCGCCACCTGCAATGGATTTCTTCTTCCTTGTGGGGAGGGAGGTGGAGCCCCAGCCCCCCAGCTTTGAGGCTCACCTCGTCCTCCCTGTATATTAAAGAGTGCTCAGATGTGGCTGTCGCTGAACCTTTCCCTCCAAGATGGAGCCCTGTGTGCAAGAGACGGTGTGTGCAAAAGGCTTGACTCACAGCCAGTGCGTGATAAACCCTCAATAAATGTTTGAAATTATTATTATCGATGGTCTCGGGGTGCTGGCTAAAAGGCAGCATAGCTCAGCAGTTAAGCCAGACGTGCTGGGTTCAAATCCCATCTCTACCATGTAATAGCTGTGTGACCTTGGGTAAGTTACTCAACCTCCCTGTTCTTCCATGTGTAAAATGGGGGAAATGACACTATTTTATAGAGCTATTGCAAGGATTAGCATAGGAAAAGCCTCTACGGTGCCTGCCACTGATTATTGCTGTGACACTTTCCCCTGATTCAGAGTTCCATCTCCTAGGTCCCCAGGCATGGCAGCAGCTGGCTTTCAGATCAGGGCCTCCCTGGGCAGCTTTCTGCTCCGCACAAGCCCCCTGCCTTCCCCCCTCTGGCTCCCAGCAGCCCCATCCTTCCCCCACTCCTGGCCCGGCTTCCAGCACCGTCTCCTCCCCTCTCCTTTGCCCCTCAGCTGCAGGGTGACCAGAGCCTCTGCCTCGTGGGACAGCTTTCTAGCACTTTCCCCCTTTTAAGAGATTGACTGCAATTTCTATAATAACATCACATTAGCCAGAAATTAATGTCCTCATTAAGATAGCAATTAGGCACATTAGCGTGGCAATAAAAGAGAAGCTTATGAAATAATTGCTGGTTCCAAAATGCCTTTAATTTAGTATTTTATATTGTGCCATGTTATTAATTTTTTTCCCTCGGCAGAAGATAATAAGAGAAACGTTTGAATTATGGGGAGGTTTAAAATAAAAAATAAAAAATTAAGAAGGAAAGCAACGTTGATACCTATAGACAGTCGATCTTTCTTCTCCCCAGTCCCCTATAGGTCTTGGGTCCATGGGATGGTGATGGCGTCAGAAGAGAGAAAGCTTTGATGTGCAGGGGGCCAGGCCACGTCCTGGGACTTTTGGCCAGGCTTGGCATCCAGAGGAGATGGACTGGAGCCGCCTTTGATCCTCGAGGCGGGAGAAATGGTGCCGTGTTCCTTTGCCCTAAACAACAAATACCTGTTTGTTTGTTTGCTTCCCCCAGTAGACTCCATCTCCTGAATTCAAATTCTTTCCGCAAACGTTTCTTTGGTACCCTGTGGCTGTGCCTCTGCTGTTGAGGGGTTTCCAGATTGTTGGAGAAGACAGATGTATAAATGGGAAAACGCTGTGATAAACTGGGAATGCAGTATTTTGCAAGTTGTAATGAAAGTCGCGCCTGCAGGCCAGGCGGCGTGGCTCGCGGTTTTTATCCCAGCACTTTGGGAGGGCGAGGTGGAAGGGTCGCCTGAGGCCAGGAGTTTGAGACCAGCCTGGGCAACGTAGTGAGGTCCCATTTCTTAATTTAAAAAAAAAAAGACCAGGCACGGTGGTTCACGCCTGTAATCCCAGCACTTTGGGAGGCCGAGGCGGGCGGATCATGAGGTCAGGAGATCAAGACCAGCTTGGTCAATATGGTGAAACCCCATCTCTACTAAAAATACAAAAATTAGCTAGGCACGGTGGTGTGCGCCTGTAATCCCAGCTACTCAGGAGGCTGACGCGGAATCCCTTACATCAGGGAGTAAGAGGTTCCAGTGAGCCGAGATCATGCCATTGCACTCCAGCCTGGCGACAGAGTGAGACTCTATCTCAAAACAAATACAAAAACAAACAAACAAAAACAAAGAAATCATGGATTTAGGGCATGATTAGCCATGGACAGTAAAATCATTAGGGGAAAGGTGAATGAGGAATGTTTTTGTGTGGCAGGGCGCAGTGGCTCACACCTGTAATCCCGGCACACTGGGAGGCTGAGGCGGGTGAATCACTCAAGGTCAGGAGTTGGAGACTAGCCTGGCCAACATGGTATAACCCTGTCTCTACTAAAACTACAAAAATTAGCCAGCTGTGGTGGCGGGTACAGGTAATTCCAGCTGCTTGGGAGTCGATTCTCCTGCCTCAGGCTCCCAAGTAGCTGGGACTATAGGTGCTCACCACCATGCCCAGCTAATTTTTGTGATTTTAGTAGAGACGAGGTCTCACCATATTGGCCAGGTGGGTCTCAAACTCCTGACCTTGTGATCCACCCACTTCAACCTCCCAAAGTGCTTGGATTCCAGGCGTGAGCCACTGCGCCCAGCCCAAAAGAGAAATGTCTGAGTTTTTTTGTCTTTTTTTTTTTTTTTTTTTTTTTGAGACGGACTCTTGCTCTCTCACCAGGCTGGAGTGCAGTGGTGCAACCTTGGCTCACTGCAACCTCCGCCTCCTGAGTTCAAATGATTCTCCAGGCCGGGCGCGGTGGCGCAAGCCTGTAATCCCAGCACTGTGGGAGGCCGAGGCGGGTGGATCACAAGGTCAAGAGATCGAGACCATCCTGGTCAACATGGTGAAACCCCGTCTCTACTAAAACTACAAAAAATTAGCTGGGCATGGTGGCGCGTGCCTGTAATCCCAGCGACTCAGGAGGCTGGGGCAGGAGAATTGCCTGAACCCAGGAGGCGGAGGTTGCATGAGCCGAGATCGCGCCATTGCACTCCAGCCTGGGTAACAAGAGTGAAACTCCGTCTCAAAAAAAAAAAAAAAAAAAAGAAAAAAAATGATTCTCCTGCCTCAGCCACCCGAATAGCTGGGACTACAGGTGTGCGCCACCATGCCCGGCTAATTTTTGTGTTTTTAGTAGAGACGGAGTTCACCATGTTGATCAGGATGGTCTCAATCTCTTGATTTCGTGATCCGCCCACCTCAGCCTCCCAAAGTGCTGGGATTACAGACATGAGCCACCTCGCCCGGCCCTAAAAAGGCATGTTTTTGTGGAGGGCTGTTCTGCTCCTATCTGAACCCAGGGTCGGCCTTAGCGTCCTAGGCTGGACATGATGTGCTCCCGCTGGGAGTAGTAGCAGGTTGGTGAGGGCCTGGAAGGAGACATCCCTATCTGAGTTAAGGAGGGGATCTCAGGGCGTCAGGCACATGAGCAGAAACCTGAAGGAGTAAAAGGGGAGGATGCACAGAGATCTGGGGGAAGAGGGTTCCAGGCAGGAGGAACAGCGGTGCCAAGGCCCGAGATGGGAACTAGCATGGAGGAGTAGAAATCAGTTAGGAGACTGGTGTGGCTGGAAGGAAGTGTGAGAGAGAGAAAGAGAGAGGAGAGGAGGCGCAATTCAGAGAGACACCAAGGAAAGAAAAAATGGGAGGCCAGGCGTGGGGGCTCACGCCTGTAATCTCAGCACTTTGGGAGGCCGAGGTGGGCGAATCACCTGAGGTCAGGAGTTCGAGACCAGCCTGGCCAGGATGACAAAACGCTGTCTCTACTAAAAATACAAAAATTAGTGGGGGACAGTGGTACAAACCTGTAATCCCAGCTACTCGGGAGGCTGAGGCAGGAGAATCGCTTGAGCCTGGGAGGCAGAGGTTGCAGTGAGCCGAGATCGCACCACTGTACTCCAGCCTGGGCGAGAGTGAGACTCTGTCTCAGAAAAAAAAAAGGAAAATGGGGCATTTCATTGGAAGGCCATGCCGAAAAACAAAAAAGAAGGATTCCTCAGGAAGTTAAAGAGTTGACAGTTTCACAGCCCCCAGGATCTGGGTCTAACTCCTTCGTGGGGAAGTTCTGACTAAGGCACACCTGTGCCTCCCAGGTTCCTTGTCAGTTACCTGTTGTCAGTTAAGCTAACAAAGGCCGGGCCCGGTGGTTCGTGCCTGTAATCCCAGCACTTTGAGAGGACCATGCGGGCGGATCACTTGAGACGAGTTCGAGACCAGCCTGGCCAACATGGCGAAACCCTGTCTCTACTAAAAATGCAAAAATTAGTCAGCTATGGTGGTTTGTGCCCGTAATCCCAGCTACTCGAGAGGCTGAGACAGGAGAATCTCTTGAACCTGGAAGGTTGCAGTGAGCCAAGATTGCGCCACTGCACTCCAGCCTGGGCCACAAAGTGACACTGTGTCTCAAAAAAAAAAAAAAAAAGCTGCCTAACAGCGCCCAAATCCAGCAGCTTAGGAAAATCAGCGTTAATTTTGGCTTCGCAGGCTGCAGGCTGGGCTCAACCGCCAATGTCTATGGGTCCAAGACTTTATTAATCCAGGCTGGGTCTTTTCGTATATTTCGGGCCCGGCTGGCTGTAGGCTGGTCTGGGACGGCTTGGCTGGGATAACAGGATTCTTCCGTCATCCTCCAGCAGGCTAGCTGGGGCGTGGCCACCTGACAGAGGCGGGGCTTCCAGACATTGACCAGAAACCTGCGGCACCTCTCCAGGCCTAGATTGGGAACTGACTTCACTTCTGCTGCGATCCATTGATTGGCCAAAGGAGATCACGAGACCAACCCAGATTCAAGGGGTGTGGAAATAGGCTCCACCTTCCAGTGGGAGGACCCACGTCGACCAACAGTATAGATGGTGGGAGGTAGAATTGGATCCAGGAAGCAACTTGGTCAGCCCCATGATTCCTTTGGGGCTTTTGATAATCATTCTCTGCCTCCCTCTGAGTACCCCAAGGCATTCTATAGTCCTCGACCCTAGTTTTTGCCCCTGTAGAAGTTATTTCTGCCCAGGTTTGCTCTCTGTAAGCTCCCACATGAGGTGTGGCTTGAGTTGTTCAAGACCCCAAATTCCCGACTGAACTTCTCCTCTTGCTCTCCATTGGGGTGTGACCAGTACTGAAATGTTTTATTGAAATTACTGGCTCGGCTGATAGCAAACAGAGTTGGTGTCAGTGAGGCACAGGAGAGGTTAGTCTGTAGTGTGCTATTGAGCAAAGGAGCAAGGGAAACCAGGAGCTCAGCTTGAACCTACTCAGTGTCCCCTTGTGCAGTGTCCAACCTGCCCAACCGTACCAGACCACCTGATTGAGGGACTAAATAGTGGAGGAAAGGAAGGGAAAACGGATTTCACCGAGAGCTTGAGCCTTAGCCCTCGGGCCAAATGAAGGACCTTCCCGGAACAGAGTGACCCAGAAGGAAGACTCGGCGGCTCAACCACCCAGATGGGTAAGACGGAGCAGCCTTGCCTCTTGTTGATCAAGGCTGGGCCAGGTGGTGTGGAGGAGGGGTGGAGGACTAAGAGAGGGGGCAAAGAGGAGGGTAGGAAGGCCCTGGCCTAAATGACCCAGTTAGTTTTCCCATCACCCCCCTACCCCATCCT